ATTTGCTTGCATAAACGTTGTAGCCATAGTCTAAATACTACCATAAAAACCTTTAGTTTCTGTGGAATTTTTTATACAACAAATCTGGTGAAGTCTCTTTTATTGAACCAAAAGAAAACAAGACTGAAATCTTTTCAGTTTATCATTGAAAACTCTTTATATGCGAAGTCTTTTTTTGGAAAAGAACGTTTGTGTCAGTCACCCAATTACCTGTACCAACGAGCTTTTGATGTTGCGGCAAATTTCGTTTGTTTCAAAAAGCAAATAGTTTACAGGCCTCTCTCTTTCCTACCCTTTGACACCAAATGGTGCTATCAGGTAAACAAGAACTTAACATTTATTTACTGAAGAGTTTGGATAATTGACAGAAAGAAGTGTAGGAAAGACACGTGTTGTAGAAAAAATTTACTCAACGCTGATGTAATAAAAATCAAAGTTTTTTTTGTTTTTTCCAACTCTCTATTTGTCTTCCATAGTTTCAGGTTCTGATCTTGTTTTTATTATCATGTAGCTTTGGTGCATACCTGACGATCGTTTGACGGCATGACTACGAAGTGACGTGAGAGGCCCGACCAGAAACGGCGGCTCTATAGTTTGGGAAATCTAAGCAAATTTTTTAAGATTCACATTGAGTTTGAATATACCTATAAAGCAATTTTCAATGTTTCAGTGGTGCAAATCTAAACAGCCAAAAAAGTCCTAAAATTTTCAATAACTTGTCTTTTCAAAAAATTAAAGAAAATAGACCATATTTGAATTCAAAAGTTAAAATTCTCTTTAGAAAACGCTTATTGTCTGAAACTCGTGCATGATAAAGATGATAACCGTCAACTGGTTGTTACAGAAGAGTCAACAAACCGCCTCTTCTGTTCTCGAAAAAAGTAAACTCTTCAAAATATTAACTTGCTACTTGGACGTGGTATATGATATAGTCCAGAACAAGCATTGTGGACGGTCTAACATGGTGAAAAGATATAACGTAATCACTACAGCAGTTTCTACCCTGCAAGCTTCGCAAAGTTAATGAGCACTTTGTGCATAACTGAAACAACTTTACATAGAAAACTTATTGTATACCGATTTCATAGGATAAAATGTCCAATTTCGAACCCAGTTTTTATCGTTTGCTAGAAGAGCTTCCGGTTCCTCTGCCAAAAATCTGAATTAATCTGGTACAGAAAAATATTAAAAACTTGTACAGAATATGAAAAGCAATACAGTGTTTATCTGTTTTAACAACGGTAAACACCTGCCATTTTGCAAAACACCAAGTCTAGACTTCTCCGGAAAATGGCAATGTTCGTTTTAATATAATTAAAGCGACTGTCATCTTTATTCCGTTAATAGTTATAAAAGCAGTAACTTTTCTAGGCTTGTCTCAATGTTCTCCAATACATTAAACAAATTCATCTTCGTTTTATTCTAAAGTGCAGTGGCGAGAAGAGCTATATACAAATAAGAAAACATTTTAATGGATAGACATTCTAAGATGAGGCATTGTTTGACACAGTCAGTAAGATGAGTTCACTCAACAAAGTTCATTTCCTGGTACCAGCGCACATCTTCAATGCTGCAGATTCACAACCGCAGAAGAAAAAGTTGTTAAAGAAAGCTGGCAAATAAGGTGGCATTTATCATTTACTGTTTGACTTGTATTCTGTAGTTTGACTTTGAAAGTTTAAGAAAGCAAAGTGCTTTTTGAGAGACCGATAGCCGAAGTAAAAAGTCTTAATGGTGAAGTTAGTGGGCAGGAAAGCTATAAGCAAAGCAGTGATAAAAATAACCAAATAGCCGTTTCATGCTCAAGTTGGGTGCATTTTCCATTCAAGAATTAAAGTGTTATTATTTCTCATCTAAAGGTTTCATGTCGCTAGCACTAACAGTATTGTTTCTTTATTTCATTTTTAGGGACTACCAAACGTGAAAATTAGTTTTAAAAATTAGCTGGTAGCAAAAAAAAAAATGTTTTTTGAAGTGTTGTTTTTTTTTTTTTTGAGAAACCAATTCTGTAACTTTTAAAAATATCCTGCGCAATCTGCTTCGTTCTTTTACTCAGGAGTTTCTTCACTTTGTCTCTGCTATGAAAAAAAAAGACTAAAATTTTGTACTGCTTCGCAGAAAGAGTACTAGTTAAAAAAATTTTTTTGATCTAACCTCTAACTTGTTTTAAAACTGCTGAAATATTCAACGTATGTTTGTATCTTACCTATGTTTTTCTTGTGCGTCTCTTGATTCACCAGGTTGTACACCAATTTTTTCTAAACATATTGCCATTTCGACATCTTCGCTGACTGTATCATGAGGTGAACAATACTGTTCGTTCTGAATTTTTTTTTCTGTTATAGCATGAACTGTCACCAAAAAGTGTTGAATTGAAAAATAATGGCATACATTTTGTAGGTTTCAAAAAAAATTAGTGCCACTGAAGGGTAAAAGGAACACTGTCACAGACTCATCGGCGGAAATACAATAGTTTTTAACAAGAAACTCTAGCAGCAAAAAGCGAGCAAAACTTTGTTATTGATTGACGATTCTTGCCTATACATCAAATTCAAAAAGAGAACAAAATATAACACATTTCAATTATAACAATATGACTTTTATATACTGATACACACCGATAATTTTTTTGTTGATCATTTTTATTAGATAAAAGAAAATAACACTTACAGGTATTCCTTCAGTCACAAATTTTTTAAGTGCGGTTTGGGAAAGAACATAACCAGCTCCGCCGCTCATAAATCCATTCTTTAATGTCACGCCAAGCCTTGCACCAAAATAGACTAGTTCTTTAGATGACTGAGATGATAAGAAGTATCTAAAAAACGGCCTGAAGCTGCAATAGACCTAATACCTCTTATCATTTTAAGCTAGATTTTTAGATACGTCGCGCTGTTAAGTTCTGA